CGCCAAGGGTGGAGAGGAGGGGAATATATCGTTAACCTTGGTTAGCGAAGATTAACAAGCTTTAAATTACAGCAAAAGGACAAATGTACACGATATAAAACAATTCAAATGAAAAAAAAACTAACAACCTGATTTATGGTAACATATTACATTTATGATTCACAGCAACAAACAACAACCACTAAATCGCACACATGCTCCTATTTTTAGACAGGCATATTGTAATACAGATCTTGGCGTGGTTAAACATGTTTACGGGAGCCATACCCTCTCCTTTTAAACATTGGACAGTGGTGTACATTTTGTTATAGCACAGCAGAGAAACAATCCATTAAAGTCAGTTGAAAAGTGCTCAACTCGTCATACAAATTAATAAATAGCAAAAAACAACTAACACTTCTCACAAAAAACCAAAAGACACAAAGCAAAGATTGGTGATCGAACTAGCAGCTACTGAAGACCAGTTCAAAGCCAATTGTGTCTTTGAAATGGAAAACAATTGTCCTGAGAGAACAATACCTATACCCCTTTAAACATGTTAAAAAACAGAATGACTGGTGCCTTACATTAAAACCAAAATCTAAACTGTCTGAAAAAAATGTATTACTGCGTGTTTCTTCTACCTTTGCTTAAAACAGATGTTAGAAATCGACTACTAGTACTCATAAATAAAAGATGTGGGGTATACATCAATGAGACGGACAGCATGTTCTACTTGTACTAGACTACTAGTACTCATTAATAAAAGATGTGGGGTATACATCAATGAGACAGACAGCATGTTCTACTTGTACTAGACTACTAGTACTCATAAATAAAAGATGTGGGGTATACATCAATGAGACAGACAGCATGTTCTACTTGTACTAGACTACTAGTACTCATTAATAAAAGATGTGGGGTATACCTCAATGAGACAGACAGCATGTTCTACTTGTACTAGACTACTAGTACTCATAAATAAAAGATGTGGGGTATACATCAATGAGACATACAGCATGTTCTACTTGTACTAGACTACTAGTACTCATAAATAAAAGATGTGAGGTATACATCAATGAGACAGACAGCATGTTCTACTTGTACTAGACTACTAGTACTCATAAATAAAAGATGTGGGGTATACATCAATGAGACATACAGCATGTTCTACTTGTACTAGACTACTAGTACTCATAAATAAAAGATGTGGGGTATACATCAATGAGACAGACAGCATGTTCTACTTGTACTAGACTACTAGTACTCATAAATAAAAGATGTGGGGTATACATCAATGAGACAGACAGCATGTTCTACTTGTACTAGACTACTAGTACTCATACATAAAAGATGTGGGGTATACATCAATGAGACAGACAGCATGTTCTACTTTTACTAGACTACTAGTACTGATAAATAAAAGATGTGGGGTATATATCAATGAGACAGACAGCATGTTCTACTTGTACTAGACTACTAGTACTCATTAATAAAAGATGTGGGGTATACATCAATGAGACAGACAACATGTTGTATTTGTACTAGACTACTAGTACTCATTAATAAAAGATGTGGGGTATACATCAATGAGACAGACAGCATGTTCTACTTGTACTAGACTACTAGTACCCATTAATAAAAGATGTGGGGTATACATCAATGAGACAGACAGCATGTTCTACTTGTACTAGACTACTAGTACTCATAAATAAAAGATGTGGGGTATACATCAATGAGACAGACAGCATGTTCTACTTGTACTAGACTACTAGTACTCATTAATAAAAGATGTGCAGTATACCTCAATGAGACAGACAGCATGTTCTACTTGTACTAGACTACTAGTACTCATAAATAAAAGATGTGGGGTATACATCAATGAGACATACAGCATGTTCTACTTGTACTAGACTACTAGTACTCATAAATAAAAGATGTGAGGTATACATCAATGAGACAGACAGCATGTTCTACTTGTACTAGACTACTAGTACTCATAAATAAAAGATGTGGGGTATACATCAATGAGACAGACAGCATGTTCTACTTGTACTAGACTACTAGTACTCATAAATAAAAGATGTGGGGTATACATCAATGAGACAGACAGCATGTTCTACTTTTACTAGACTACTAGTACTGATAAATAAAAGATGTGGGGTATACATCAATGAGACAGACAGCATGTTCTACTTGTACTAGACTACTAGTACTCATTAATAAAAGATGTGGGGTATACATCAATGAGACAGACAGCATGTTGTACTTGTACTAGACTACTAGTACTCATAAATAAAAGATGTGAGGTATACATCAATGAGACAGACAGCATGTTCTACTTGTACTAGACTACTAGTACTCATAAATAAAAGATGTGGGGTATACATCAATGAGACAGACAGCATGTTCTACTTGTACTAGACTACTAGTACTCATTAATAAAATATGTGGGGTATACATCAATGAGACAGACAGCATGTTCTACTTGTACTAGACTACTAGTACTCATAAATAAAAGATGTTGGGTATACATCAATGAGACAGACAGCATGTTCTACTTGTACTAGACTAATAATACTCATAAATAAAAGATGTGGGGTATACATCAATGAGACAGACAGCATGTTCTACTTGTACTAGACTACTCATAAATATACTATAGAATTACTCAAGCATGCAGAGTATTTTGCACCAAAACCGTGTGTACGAAATAGATATTTTACATCTAAAACAAAAAATTCTCTGAAATTGACATTATCAAAATGCTTGATTTCTTGATTGTCAACATATTTGTTACGTTTGGAGGACGTGTTTTTCAACAAACTATCGGCATTCCCATGGGAACCAATTGCATGTGCCCCTCTTCTTGCCGACTTGTTCCTTTATTCTTATGAGGCTGATTTGATACAGGAAGCTAAAGAGGTTAACAATACCCTTTAACTTTACTTTCCGCTATAAAGGTGATTTTCTCTCACTAAATAATTCAAAATTTGGTGACTATGTTGAACGCATCTATCCCATCGAACTAGAGATAAAGGATACAACAGATACAGTTAAGTCTGCCTCATTATGGCTCATATCTTGACTTGTATCTAGAAATTGACAATGAGGGTCGGTTGAAAACAAAACTTTACGACAAAAGAGATAATATAAACTTCCCAATTATGAACTTTCCATTTTTAAGTAGCAACATTCAAGCAGCGCCTGCAAACGGAGTATATATCTCCCAATCGATACGATTGTATTTCCTATCATGATTTCCTTGGTAGAGGGTTTCTGCTAACTAGGAAGCTATTAAACCGAGAGTTCCAAATGGTGAAGTTGAAACAATCCCTTCGTAAATTTTACGGACGCCATCACGAGTTGGTTGACCGTTATGGAATATCCGTTTCACATATAATATCGGATATAGATAAAATTGAGAATGGAAATGGGGAATGTGTCAAAGAGACAACAACCCGACCATAGAACAGACAACAACAGAAGGTCACTAACAGGTCTTCAATGCAGCGAGAAATTCCCGCACCCGGAGGCGTCCTTCAGCTGGCCCCTAAACAAATATATATACTAGTTCAGTGATAATGAACGCCATACTAAACTCCAAATTGTACACAAGAAACTAAAATTAAAAATAATACAAGACTAACAAAGGCTAGAGGCTCCTGACTTGGGACAGGCGCAAAAATGCGGCGGGGTTAAACATGTTTATGAGATCTCAACCCTCCCCCTATACCTCTAGCCAATGTAGAAAAGTAAACGCATAACAATACGCACATTAAAATTCAGTTCAAGAGAAGTCCGAGTCTGATGTCAGAAGACGTAACCAAAGAAAATAAACAAAATGACAATAATACATAAATAACAACAGACTACTAGCAGTTAACTGACATGCCAGCTCCAGACTTCAATTAAACTGATTGAAAGATTATGTCTTCATCATATGAATATCAGGCACAATCCTTCCCGTTAGGGGTTTAGTATCATACCATCATAACATATATGAGAAGAGCATAACCCGTGTCATGCCAACAACTGGTTTTTAAATAAATGTGTTTAGTGCCGATGCAAAGACCCTATAAGTGAATCAATATTAACGCCAAAATATGCAATCTTTAATGACCTGACAACAGTATCGTAACTATATCCCTTCTTAATAAGTCTATTTAAAGGTTTTGTTAGCTTCAGAGGTGAATACTGACATTTTTGTGCTTTATAAAGAATATTTCCATAAAAAATTGGATGTGAAATACCTGAACGTATAAGAAGTCTGCATGTTGAGCTATATTTACGAATGATGTCCTTATACCGATGATAAAATTTAGTAAATGTTTTGACTAGTTTGTGATATCGAAAACCCTGGTGTAATAATTTTTCAGTAATACATAAATTTCTCTCGTTAAAATCTCAAACATTGTTACATACACGAGCGAATCGTACAAGTTGAGATATATAAACACCGTAAGATGGTGACAAGGGAACGTCACCATCTAAAAATGGATAATTAACGATAGGAAATGAAAAATCATCTCTTTTGTCATATATTTTAGTATTAAATGTATACGATGATGTGGTATGAGTGCCAATGAGACAATGTTCCTTATGTCGTAAATACAATCCCGTTCCCTTTTAACGAATTTGACCTACCGAATTAGACTATTTACCGGGTTTGTAATAACATGAGCAATACGACGGGTGCCACATGTGGAGCAGGATCTTCTTACCCTTCCAGAGCACCTGAGATCACCCCCAGTTTTTGGCAGGGTTCGTGTTGCTTAGTCTTTAGTTTTCTATGTTGTGTCGTTGTACTATTATTTGTCTGTTTGTCTTTTTCTTTTTTTTTGCCAGGGCGTTTTCAGTTTATTTTTGAACTATGGGTTTGAATGTCCCTCTGGCATCTTTCGCGCCTCTTTTACATGTTATAAACACGGGATGTTAAAAGGTTTACCTCTCAACTTTGTTATTTGTTTTGCTTTCAGAGTCCTTCAAGAGCACAGATACTGGAAATAAACCTTATTAGGATGTTAGAGGTAGAGGATTTAGTAGCAATCAATGATACTCTGCAGAGACCGAGAGGAAAACAGACAACTAGTACAACACTTCACAAATGTGATGTTTGTGCTAAAGAATTTAGTCTAGGTAGTGACTTAAAGAGACATGTGAGAACACATACTGGTAAAAAACCTCATAAATGTGATGTTTGTGCTAGAGAATTTTCCCATGGTAGTTTCCTAACTAGACACATGCTAGTACATACTGGAGATAAACCTCATGACTGTGATGTATGTGGTAAAAGGTTTGGTCAGCAAAGTAATTTACAGACACACATGAGAACACATACAGGTGATAAACCTTATCAATGCAATGACTGTGATAAAGGGTTTAATCATCCTAGTAATTTACAACGTCACATGAGAACACATACAGCTTATAAACCTCATAACTGTGATGTATGTGGTAAAGGGTTTAGTCAGCTTGGGAATTTACAGACTCACATGAGAACACATACACTTGATAAACCTTATAACTGTGATGTATGTGGTAAAGGGTTTAGTCAGCAAAGTAATTTATCGACACACATGAGAACACATACAGGTGATAAACCTTATCAATGCAATGACTGTGATAAAGGGTTTAATCATCCTAGTAATTTACAACGTCACATGAGAACACATACAGCTTATAAACCTCATAACTGTGATGTATGTGGTAAATGGTTTAGTCAGCTTGGGAATTTACAGACTCACATGAGAACACATACAGGTGGTAAACCTCATGATTGTGATGTGTGTGGTAAAGGGTTTAGTCGGCTGGGGAGTTTACAAATTCACATGAGAACACATACAGGTGATAAACCTCATGATTGTGATGTGTGTGGTAAAGGTTTTAGTCGGCTTTGGAATTTACAGACTCACATGAGAACACATACAGGTGATAAACCTCATGATTGTGATGTGTGTGGTAAAGGGTTTAGTCACGGTAGTGACTTGAAGAGACACATGAGAACACATACAGGTGATAAACCCCATGATTGTGATGTGTGTGGTAAAGGGTTTAGTCGGCTTGATAATTTACAGACACACATGAGAATACATACAGGTGATAAACCTCATGAATGTGACATTTGTGATGTGTGTGGTAAAGGGTTTAGTCGGCTTGAGAATTTACAGACTCACATGAGAACACATACAGGTGATCAACTTCATGATTGTGATGTGTGTGGTAAAGGGTTTAGTCACGGTAGTTACTTTAAGAGACACATGAGAACACATACTAGTGTTAAACCGTATGACTGTTATTCATGTTGCAGAAAGTTTAATGATCCCAGTAATTTAAAACGTCACATGAGAATACATACAGGTTATAAACCTAATGACTGTGATGTATGTGGTAAACGGTTTAGTCGGCTTGGGAATTTAAACACTCACATGAGAACACATACAGGTGATAAACCTTACGATTGTGATGTGTGTGGCATAGGGTTTAGTCACGGTAGTGACTTTAAGAGACACATGAGAACACATACTGGTGATAAACCGTATGACTGTTATGCATGTTGCAGAAAGTTTAATCACCCCAGTAATTTAAAACGTCACATGAGAACACATACAGGCGATACACCTAAGGGTTTAGTCGGCTTGCCTATTTACAAAAATACATGAGAACACATACATGAACAACTGTTGTAAAAGGTGAATTAAAGAGACACATGAGAACACATAACCATAACCATAAGTGAAAAAACCCAAGACTCAGGCGCGTAGCTACGTTTACGTCAAAACGCCCGGGCGTACACTTGAATTTTGATAAAAAAATTATTATATAAATCTAAATAAAATAAAAAGAACTGGTTAAATGCACATCAGCTGCGTACTTCTTTCTTTAATGGCTTGTAATATTGTATGCGAATAAAATGGACGAAACATACATTTTTTATCCAAATGTTATCGTATCATATATATATTTGTTCATTTTCTGTAATACTAAAAGTCTGAATCTACTGAGAGTTCTGTGTACTTTTCTTTTGTTCAAAGAAATGCATTATCTGGGTTCCGTTCAATATCGTAGCAGCTTAGTAAACTAATTGATGTATAACAAACATTAATCCCAAAATGTAAGTTACATAAATCTTCACAGGGCTACGTAGATTTTTTAATCTATGTAGCAGCTAGGCTAGCTACACGTTCAATAGTCATAAATCTACGTAGCCCTATGTAGCCGCTACGATATTGAACGCAACCCAGCCTATGATTTATGTCGCGAAAAGGGAAATTATCGATCCTAAATTTCGTTAGCGGCGTCAGTTTAGTTTCAGTATGTTGTTAAAGTTTTTTAAATATCAATAACTTTCTCAAATCTTTGTGAAATTTTACGGAAGTTGCACAGAAACTGTTTATGATCAAAAGATTATCCAGAGCTTAATGATGAAATTAATGTTTATTTTCACCGTATTTTATCGAGAAAAGGAATTTCTTTTTGCAGGTAAAAAGTAGTTACATTTTGGGGTTAATGTTTGTTATACATCAATTACTTTGTCAAACTTTGGAAGAAGCTTTTTTTATTAATATTTAAAAAGCAGAAAATTAAAAAAAATCGTACATTTTTCAGTACTTTTTGACGAAATTAACAAATGGTCTCCGATTTTGTTTCACATGATTAGGGAGCTACCCTTTGACTTTTAGGGAGGAAAAGGGGAAAAGGGGGGGGGGGGGGGGGGGGGTAGGATTAAAAATGTTGTACTGCCTTTGCATTTTTCACTTTATTCGGTCTTGCCTTTTTTATTAGTATATTCGGCCTTTTTTTTTTACATAAATTGACATCCTGCCTTCTTTTTTTGATCATCCTGCCTTTTTGCTCACTCAAAACTCCTGTCCTGTCGATTATTCAAGAGGTAGCTTCCTTAACTTTGAAACCTGCATAGATGGTAATGAAACTTGTGCAGACGTCAATATTCCAGATTAAGGAAAAAATATCTTTAAATAATGATTGATCTTTTTAACTGATGTAAAGGAACGATAAATGGATTCACTTTTTGCTGCAAAAAATCCCAGGCGAGAACCAGGGTTCTACAGAACCCTAAAAATGCGAATTATAATATTGCACCTGAACATTTCTGAAAAATATTTATTTCAAGTTCATTAACGATTTTTTGTTGATAGAGTGCTTGACCCCACGGCTCCTTTTACTCATATCTTAAAGTAATTGGTTTGGACGATTTGTCTAAAACCAATGACCGTTAGCTATAGATTCCAAATTAACACAATGAATAGATCAAACATAAAAAAAATCATTTAGATTCCGTGTACAGTATAATAATATTGATGATTTTTTAATGACAGGAATGGTATCTCATTCTCGATACTATATAGCTTTAGGGGGCTTTGCCCCCTCAACTTGTACCCACTACCGGCAGGTCCTTAGACTCCTCGCCGAGGTTCGGGCGTACACGTAAAAATGACCTAGCTACGCCACTGAGACTGGAATATAATTATGTTGTAAAAAGATTATTCATGAGAACACACGCAGGTGATAAACCTCATAACTGTGATGTATGTGGTAACCGGTTTGGTCGGCTTGGTAATTTACATCCTCACATGGGAACACATACAGCTGATAAACCTCATGACTGATGTTTGTGGTAAAGATTAAATTCGTCTTTAAATTAGTAATTTACAGATTTACAGGAGAACAGATACAGTTGAAAACTGCATGACTGTAATGTATGTGGTAACAAGTTTAGTCATCTTAGTAATTTATAAAGTCACATGAGAACACATACAGGTTAAAAACCTCATAACTCTGGCAAAAGGTTTAGTCACGTGTGATAAACATGATAAACAATGTATGTGGTAAAGAGTTTAGCCGACTTGGTCAGGAACAGAGATACATGAGAACACATATTTCACATGAACATGATAAATATGATATTTTTTAAATGGTATCGTCGGCTTACATTCTGTATACATTCCTGTCCCAATTGAGGATCCACAGTTATTAGATACATGTAGTTGGCATAATATTTGTTTTTCGTTGACTAATTTTGACGTGAAATGAAAGCTAAAAGGTATGAGATCACTAGTACCCCTGTTGAAAATTTCTTAAAATATAAAATTAAGATACTAGTATGAGGGCATATTTGACCTGCCGTTCAAATCAGAAATACCTGTTTCATACTTCTAAATTTCCGGGAACTAGTGCGCTCTATTCATGCTAGCATATTGTTTTTCTTATATTGGTTAACATTTCACAGCGGTATACCATGTTACTTTAATTATTCTTCCCTTAGTTTATTTTTTTTTTGTATTTACATTGTATCATAAATCAAATTTATTTGTTCAGTGTATGTTCACTGGTGTTAATATGTCTTTTGATTGAGTTAAGCCATTTCAATTGATATTTTATATATATATATAGTGTGTCTTTCTATGTTGTGATGTTACACTATTGTTTCAGATAAGGGTGAAGGTTTGGTACCATTAAAACGTTTAAACCCGCTGCAATTGTTTGCACCTGTCCTAAGTCAGGAATCTGATGTTCAGTAGTTGTCGTTTGTTGATGTGGTTCACAAGTGTTTCTCGTTTCTCGTTTTTTATATAGATTAGACCGTTGGTTTTCCCGTTTGAATGATTTTACACTAGTAATTTTTGGGGCTCTTTATAGCTTGCTGTTCGATGTGAGCCAAGGCTCCGTATTGAAGACCGTACTTTGACCTATAATGGTTACTTTTATAAATTGTTACTTGGGTGGAGAGTTGTCTCATTGGCACACATCTTCCTATATCTATAACATGCAATCAAAGGTCTGTTGCATTTTTCCGCACATGTCAAGGTAAGATTAAGCTTTGACATGACATGTCTATTTGATCTCGAGACAAAATAGCTATGGATTTTATAAATTGCTTAATTTGACAAAGAAAGGAATGGAGGTGTGCAGTCGTGGTTTTATTCCACAAGAGGGTCAAAGGAATAATTGCATACAAATTACAATTATAGAACGAAGTTTCCGTCTGTCATTTGTCCATGACCTCAAATTGAATAGTATTTTTGCCATGTGAATTATTCACTTTATATTGTGAGTAGATATAACTGTATTTGACATATTAAGTGTTCCTTGCAAGGTCTACATATCCGTCAGACTGGGTTCACCAGATCTCATTTCATGGATCAGTTGGCAAGGTTAAAAAACGTGATAAGGTCCGTCTATCAAATAAAGGCAACAGTAGTATACCGCTGTTCGAAATTCATTAATCGATTGAGAAAAAAACAAATCCGGGTTACAAACTAAAACTGAGGGAAACACATCAAATATAAGAGGAGAACTACGACACAACAGAAAAACATTAAGAAAAAAATGGTGGGTTGAACCTGGTTTTGTGGCTAGCCAAACCTCCCGCTTTTATGGCAATGTTAAATATAACATTAAAATGGCAACATTACATGACGGGACTACAATACAAATAAATGGGAGAATATATAGGACAGAGAAACATACGAATAATAGCTAACAAAAGGTACCAGGTTTAAAATTTAATACGCAAGACGCGCGTTTCGTCCACACAAGACTAATCAGTGACGCTCAGATCAAAAAAGTTCGAAAGCCAAAACAAGTACAAAGTTGAAGAGCATTGACGACCAAAAGTTCCAAAAAGTTGTGCCAAATACGGCTAAGGTTATATGTCTGGGATAAGAAAATCCTTAGTATTTAGAATAATTCATACTTTTGCAAACAGTAAATTTATAAAAATGACTATATAATAGATATACATGATAACACCGAAGTGGTGACTAACTACAGAATAAAAACGGATACATAAAACAACATAAACCAGCACATAAAAATTTACAGCCGAGTTAGCCAAAGAGATCAACGCAAAAAAAGTGACGTCAAATTTGAATTTCTGAAATTTCCCCAAAATAGGATAGAATTCAAGATTTGGTTTATTATACATGTACTCATATAACATTTATTAATAACAATGAAAATTACAATACTAATTAATATAAAATGTGGTAGTAATTAGATAATTAATAGTATTATCTAGCTATGTCGGTGTTTCTTCTAAATCAAACTGTAAACCAAACATATCGTATAAATTTAGTTGACCCAAACTAAAATCTAAGTAATGAACTGGGTGATTAATTATCTTTACCGTAACACACGAATACAACAGAAAAAAAATTAGATTTACAACTACAAACGATAAGACATTTGACAAAATCCGATGAGAATACCAAATATAACATCAAAACTAAATACATGAATTTTGGATAGAAAAGTACCGTGACACGTCTTATAGCAATGCGAATTCACATTCAGCAAAACAGTCACAATCGGGAATAAGTCACGTTCGGTAATTAAAAGATCAGACGACATAATGTCAAACCACAATCTGACACGTGGTAAAAATGTCCTTAATTAGTTTGAACAAAGACACATCGTATGGATCGACCAATTCGTGATGGTGTCCGTAAAATTTACGGAGTGTCATTTTTAATCTGTCGTCCTCATAACTTTGTTGGAGCAGTTTCTGCGTTAGGA